GTGGTAACCATGCAAACCAGGAGGCTCAACATGCTCAAGCTGTTCATAGCAGCATGTTAGGCCTGGAGGCCACCTGCTTCTTGTTGCTGGGAAACACAGCACTGCCTTGCAAGAAGAGGAAAACTCAGGTTGCAGTGACCACTGGTTCAACACCATAAAGAGCCATGGTGGACCAAGACAGCTCCAAGCCCGAATGCCCAGATTTTGCAAATATTTTGATATGAATAAGTCAACTTGAGCCCTGACCTGGACAGCACAGGCTAGACCGATCTCATCAGACCTTGGAAGCTAAGCAGGATTGACCCTGGATAGTATTTGGATGGGAGACCACCAAGGAATACCAGGGTCACTATGAATGTCTCCTGCCTTGAAAACCCTGTGGGGTCACCATAAGTCAGCTGTGAGTGACAGCCAAAGAAGTCAACTTGGCACACATGAGGTATATCCAGAGCAAAGGCCCTGAGGGCTGATTAAGCTCCCATGACTTCTACAAAGATGATACTACACAAGAGAGTTTGTCCACTCACTAGAACGCAAATAGCCAAGGCCTCCAAGCCGCCTTGAGTCTCAATGAGAAATGGTGACGGTAAATGGAAGTATAGAAAGGGACTGGGGGAGATGAATAAAGCAAAAAAAAAAAAAGGGGGGGGGGGAAACTAGACCCTTCACAGCTGAAAGTATTTGGAAGCTGGAACCTCAACCCACTCCAGAAGACACCCTTGAGCAGCTTTGCTGGAGAGGGCCAAACCCACTAGGAGGAAGAACCCAGAATGCATCCCTCCCAAATGGAGGGGACATACCACAACCTTTTCATTTTGCCTTTGGACGAATCATGCCTTGCTAGATGCACCAGGTGACCAATGTCTAGTGGCTTCTGGAATCTGAGTCCTTAAGCTTTAGATGGGTTAGTGTTTTAGGGAACTTAAGGAGCATCTACACAACGTGGCCAGACTTCATCAGGCCTCTTATATCTGCCAGCTTCACCAAAACCAGGGCAGCAAAAGATCTCAACAGCTGCAACTTTTGCACAGAGTTCTCCACAACTGAAAAGAACATATATGTAGCTCTGCATAATGCAGCTGTCCTTGATGAAGGACTTCTTAAGTACACACAGCTGTCTCTACCTGGAGCCTTCCACAAGGCTTTTAAAACAAACAAGTACACACCCACTAGGTTTATATATTACTCCACATATCTGGAAACGTGTTTATTATTCAGCTAAGTTTTTACTGCAATATGGCAAGCTGTCCTATATGGCTTAGACTTTATGAAGACCACATTCAGAGGCAGGGGCCAACATCTCCCCACAAATGTTAGAGCAGACAGGAACTCCCAAGTGTGGAGATGACAAACATTTACAGTGCAACCTTATGCAGACTTACTCCAGTTTAACCACATCAATATCAATGGGCATAATAAACTGGAACAACTCTGCATAGGTATGTGCTCTTAAGTGTTGTAGAACAACAGAGCAGAAAATGCTGCATTTTAGGATTGCTTTAAATTTCAAAGTTTTCCTATAAGGAAAGAATTACACAGAAAATGCCCGATAACTATTAACTCCTCAACATGAGGGATGGACCCATACAAATTCATGTGTAATATCCTTCCGCATGTGGCATTTATGGTTTTTCTGGAGCACAGGTACTTTCTGCGTAAGAGAAGTTAAACATCTGAAGCAGTATTCAGGCGGGTAACCGTGTTGGTTTGAAGCAGCCAAACAAAGTCTGAGTCCAGGGGCACCTTTAAGACCAATGAAGTTTTATTCAAAGTATAAGCTTCTGTGTGCAAGCACACTTCTTCAGATAAAATGGAATAAAATCTCCTAACGCCCACCCCCCATTCTCGCTTTTCTTTTCCTATAAGTAGGACTCGAGGAGATTTTATTCCATTGTATCTAAGTATAGTGTGCTTGCACACGAAAGCTTATACTCTGAATGAAACGTCCTTGGTCTTAAAGGTGCCACTAGACCCCTTGTTCATCTGAAGCAGTGTCTTCTGTGTTGAAAGCATAAGGGACCAGGGTACATCCAACAAAATCTGCACAGTTGTGTCAACTACCACTTTCTCTAATTGGAATAAGCCCCTTACATTTAAGAGCTTTACTCGGAGGCAGAACTACCTCCCGTATGTGGATGTGGAACTTGAGAGATCAGCACGAGATGCCAACGTGGAGGAAAAAACGGCGGCATCTGTGCTGTGAAAAGAGACACACATTCCTTCTCCCCCCTTCTGGTATTGGCTGGCTTTCAAAAATCAGAAGCTCCCAAACCAAAGCCCTTAAAACACAAACAAAAAAAGTTGCTATTTGAATCCCTTATTAGGGCTATTGTTGCCGACAGCGCAGACTTGGGACGGGGAAATGGAAGGAACCATCAGGCTCCTTATTTCCTGCATCCACATTGCTGGATTCCCCAAATCTCAGCCATCTGTGACAGATGTTCACTCAGCTCCTCCTGGATGTCAGGGAAAAAAAGCGTTCCACAACATCCTCAGGCAACTATTCAGTCAACCAGCTGTTCCTGCTATTATATGCATCCCTTCCCTCCCTCCACCTTGGAAAAAAAACCCTCCTCTTCTGTACTGCAGCAACTGAAACCACTGAGCCCTCTTGCCAAATTAAAACATGGCGCCATGAGATTTCCTCTGCTACCACTGATCAGCTGCCCACGCCAAGAGCCTCAATTCTACCCACCAGCCTGCAGATCCAGCACTCAAACCCACAAGCAATTCCCATAGCTTTAAAAGGTGCCAATGCAGTGGAGTGCAATGCAGCATCCCTTGTGATACTGCAGAGAATTCCAGGATGCAGCTTTTGGAGGTTCATGCAATGCAGCTGTTTGGGGCAGCAAGATGTCCTGGGCTTGTGCCAACTGCCTGCCGAAGAGGGCAAATGACTTCAAAGTCTTTGCTTATTTAACACTGCTAAGTACAAAAAATAAAAAAAATAAGGAGTGGGGGGAAAGCATCTGTTCTCCATGCACAATTCAGAGCCAGTAAACTCTCTGTTCTGCACCAGCACCCAGGTCTGAATCTAAGGGGAGGGGGAGGTGGACAAGCACAGCCCCCCCCCCCAACACATTGCACGGCTGCTTGGACAGGGAGATGGCAGCAGTAGCAGAACAAAACACATTTGGGAAAACTGAGCTCAAGTTTGCTTAGCTTGAAGGGGTTTCTCTTGGCATCCCCTGCCAACTGGCTAGAAAGACACATTCCATGTTTCTTTTAGCTGTGAGAGGGAGGGGGGAACTCCTGATATGCTGACATTTCCCCCCACCCTAACCAACCACAGGCACACAAAGGGAGAATCCAAGCAATGTTTACCTTCCCTTTTCAAAAACGACCAGTGCCAACCATTCCTCAAACTTGTGGGGTGATTGCCCACCCCCCACCCCGTGGGTATTTAGCAGTGATTTAGCCATTCATTTACTCTAGAGTTATGAATGCTCTGGGACTGCCTTGACCTCAGAGCCCTGCAAGTGGCAATGCCCCATCTACTGCAAAGAGTTGTTTGTGCTAATCACCATCTCTCAGTGGGAATCAATTGTCCTTTTGATCACCCACTGCTTAGACTCAACTGAGCAGCTAGGAGGCTTCAGGCTAAGTGAAACCCGCATTTATATCGCATAATATTGGTTTGTTAACCCCCTATGCCCTTCAGTATCCCTGCAACACCTCACAAGCAGGGCAACTTTTCCCTCCTGGGCACCTTTTCCATGCAACGTCCATTTCAGCAGTGATAACAGTGGAACTAGATGTTCTAGGGAGCCAGTGTAATGCAGGGATTAGTGTCCAAGTAGGATCTGGGAGACCCGGGTTCGAGTCCCCACTGTGCCATGGAAGCTTGCTGGGTGACTGTGGGCCAGTCATATACTCTCAGGCTAACCTACCCCACAGTGTTGTTGTGAGGACAGCACATAGAATGATGAAAAAGCAAGGAATAAATGAAGTTAATTGACACAGAGAGTACTCCATCTTTCTGTGTTATACCTCTGAGGATGCCAGTCACAACTACTGGTGAAACGTCAGGTTCTACAATGGCAAGACCACGGCCACACAACCCGGAAAATCTACAGCAACTAATGAAGTTAATAATTACTTACGGCCTAGCAATAAAAGGTTCATCCTAAGTATGTAATGCTCTGTTCATACAAATGTGCACACTTTTATAACACCAAAGCTTTAGTAGACTAGTGCCAAACACATATACTACACCAACACTTTTCCCACTGCCTTTCCTTAATCCAACCCCCAACTCTACTGAGGCTCAGTGGTCCAGCTTCTTTGCATGCAGAAAGACCCAAATTCAATCCCTGACATCGCCCGTTAAAAGAATCAGGCAGGAAAGTATGTGACAAATCTCTGCCCAAGACCTTGCAGAGCCGCTGCCAGTCTGAGTAGACAATACTGACCTTGATGGACCAATGGTTTGATTCAATATAAGGTAATGTCATTATGTACATATGTCACCTTACACATTAACCCAGGGACTATAGCCTTAACCTTCAAAACCCACAAAAAACAGGATCCTGCAGTTCTGTAGCACCCGCTCAGATTAGCTGGGCAGTTCCCACTGGGTACATGTGAACGGGATATCCCATGAATGAAACAACATCAAGGTGTGCCTTGGCCTTTCCTAGCCAATTGCTGTCAACAATCACTGTCAACACAACTTACTGGGACTGAAGTCAAAAGCCTGGAGATTACATCAATCAACACGATTTTGTTCCCTCCCACTACAATTGTTCCAGTGGTTTCTAGTGCAGGTTTTATGTTTGCAGAATCCCTTTGAACTTGACCAGTTCAGGTCTGCTTAACAGTGAACGGATACTTTGGAAAACAAGGGAAACCCCTCCCCTGAGGAGCTACTTACTACCTGTAGTAAACAACAGGGCAAAGATCCAGCCCCCCAATAAGAAAGATTAGGCAAGGACAGTTGAGAAACACATTTTCATGCCAGAGCAACTAGCTTTCCATTTCCGCCTTGGCCGGCCACTTACCGATATCGGACTTTGACCCTGTCGTTGTCCGGACTGCAGTAGAGTCTTTCCAGATGTTCCTGCGAGTCATTGGTCACGCTCTGCCACGCTTGGCTAGCAGTCCTCCTGATCTGCCAGTGGTAGGGCAGGACTGTGTGATGCCGGGGGCAGTCGCTGCCCAAAACACAAACCCCTTGTAGAAAATCCACACAGATGTCGACCCCGTCCTTCTGGTGGGTGTGATATTGGAGCTGGTTCAAGATTTCAAACACAAGGTCAAGAGAAGCCTCCTCGCTTTTGTCCTGGAAGAGCCCAGCTCCGAACTTCTCAGCAGGCTTCGAGTCACACAGGGCCAGGGGGAGGTTGTGGTCCTGGACACCTCCAGGAGGGTAACCTTCAAGCGCCTTCTGAGGGCAGGGACGAAAGGCAGCAGCATCGCCAGGGACAGCGTGGAACGCCTCAGCAGCAGCGGGAGAAGTGACAGATGGGAAGACCTGCTCCCCAGTCTGGCCATCCTGTTCAGGAGGCCCATCGGCTATCTGTCCCTGAACATCCGGCGCTCCCGGCAGCAAGACGGCTACGCTGTTGTCTGGTTGTGGGCACGGGGCAGCGACCCCCACAGGCTTCTGGGCCACAGGTTCACACAAGTTGCCGTGGCCGCCGTTCTGCCCCCGTGGTACAAAGATCCCATCTAGGGTACCTGCCCCTAGCAAACTGGTGAAGATGGGCCGCAAAGCCCTCAGCGCCTCTGTGTCCAGCCTCTTCTGGGCTTGCTGTTTTTTCTTAAAACAAGGCTTGACGGGCGGGATCTTCTCCGGGATCCTCAGTGGCGGGGCAAAGACCTCCGAAGGAGAGCACTGCATCTCCTGACAGTGGGGCTGTGCCGCTACACACACCACGGGCTGCTCCAGGTCCGTCTCCATCGGCTTCTTCTTCCCAAGTTTGCCTCCGCTTTCCACGTTCCTACAGTCCTGCAGTCGCCAGCCTAGGGCAAAGGGGGAGGGTAAGGCCGTTAGTCTCCGACTGGAGAAGGGCGACAGGAAAAAAGACCAGCTCCCTCCCACCTCCACACAACCCCTGCTTCCCCTCTTACTGGCTTTGTGGGTAGCCCCAAGGCACATGAGGTCAGCTAAAACCCAGACTTATTAATTCCCAGAACAAGCGTTCAGCCTTTTGTCACACCCGGCATTCAGAGACGGCAGCTGCTGCTTCTCACGTTTCCGTTCACTTAATTGGATCTTTGCAGTCCCCCGTGCATGCATGCATACATGCACGCACCCCCCCCTCCTCCTCCAGTTGCTCATACTCTCCTCTGGAAATACACTGCCACTGGGCATATCACCTCCTCCCTACACACACACACACACACACACACACACACACACACACACACACACACACACACACTGACTGCTCCCTCCCTCCCTCATTCGCCCACATTTCGCCCCACCTTTCCATCTAGGAAGATCCTCCCGCACTCATCATATACATTCTCTCTCCTTGCCCTGAACTCTGTGTGCTGCCCAAAACGGAATGACCAAGAACCCACGAGAAGGAGCAGTAAATTAGGCAGTTCCGACACTGGGTTCCTTAGACGGACGGATAGAAGTTGGAAGCCAGCCAACACAGAGCCAACTTGGCGAGTCTCAGAACTGCTTAGTCACCCCCCCCCCAAGCCTTTTAAAAAAAGTATTTCCCGCACTTCCCCCCGCCGCCACTCAGTCAGAATCACGCACCCCAGCTCAGCGGCTTCCCAGCACCGACAACACATGAGCTCGCCTGCCCCCCACAGGCCCGGACGGCTACTGCAGACAGAACGAGAAGCAAACTTGGGAGCCAGACGGCTGTCCAAAAGCCCCAACCTGCCCCCCCCCCGCCCCGCAATACCACCCTCATAAGCGAATCAAAAAGTTGATTTCCACAGAGAGAAGTCGTCACTAATCTGAGAATGTTTGCCTAGTTAGAAATAACTCTGAAGTTATATGGCGGAAGAGAGATAAAGCTTCATTCTGCACCAAGAATTAATAATGTTTCTTGGGTTTGGTTTCTCAACCTTGGTTGCCACCCCCCAAAAAATATATGTATCCCCAAAGCTGCATTTCTTTAAGAACTGCGACTTCCCTTGTCATGAAAACAAGGTCAGCAACACCAAATATATTCCAAAACAGGCCACCTTCAAGTTTTACCAGGGCGAATATTTCGCATAGTCATTCAGGAACTCATCTTTATTATTTGATGTTCTACCAGCTGAACAGCATGTTTCTTTCCAGTCATAAGACATACCATGAGGGATTTATTCTACAGGACACAGTCACAGCCCAGCCAGGAATGCTCACTCAAGTCGCCACCAGCCGCTTCCACCCCACAGAAAAGAACAGGA